GTGAAAATCTTGTCATTGTAACATAGGAAAAAAGAGTAAGTTTACCCTCAAAGCGCAAACTCAATTATTCTTGAGACACAAAGCGCCATCAATCAAAAATCCTTCACCACTCAGTCAAGTAGATCATTGACGTAGTATAAAAAGGCTATTATTGCCCCCAGACAGTCAGCCCAAAAAGGCGTGCGGTTCTGAGAATTTGTTAAGGAGTAAAATCAGATCCCATGCTAACTTTAGCGAGAAGTTCACACGTCCCCGAACCCTTCTTTCACTTTCCCGGTCCTTTCTCATCTGGCCTTGCACTCCTTTTTCTATCAAACTTGCCCTATAATATGCCTCAGAAAGAGCGAGATGGAAGTGAGGGTTGGATGGGGAGGGGGGGGAGTTCAGGTCAAAGCATTTTTTATTTTATTTTGCCTATTTCCTTTTTTTTTTCAATTAAATGAAAAATAATGTGTAGACTTTCACTGGCCAGTCCTACCCCAATTTTGACCCTAATATGAAGACCCCGTTAAATCTATGCTTATCTTACTTTAGAGGAGGTGAAAGTAATCCTCAACTCCACCTGTCTCGAAAAACAGATTGTTGAATTTGGCCAAATCAATCCCCTATATGCAGGCAACTCGAATTCATTAAACTTTTCTTTAGCGTTTTGTAAGGAACTACATTGGGAAATTCTCAATTTTTATAAGCAAAGGGACAAGTGAATCATAGCCAAAACTTACTGGGTGAAGCGTGTCGAAGCTTTTCAGATATCATGCTGCTGTAGATGTGATGACTGAGCGGCATAAGGGCTGGGTTCAAAGCCAGGGTCTGGGCGTTGCTGCTTGCAAGATGTCGTACATCGGGACGTTCGTTCTCAAATGACACTGTGAACAGAGAGATTTTGGTCATTGAACAGTCCAGTTCAATGAAGGCATAGAAAGATGCACTGTTGTTGAGAGACGGCTTTTCTAATTTTTTTTCTACGTACTGCTTCGTTGTCTCCCTACTTTTGTTACATTCGCTTTAAACTCTTGATTCGGAAATGTTTACAGTTCTAAATACCGTCGACACCAAGACTTATTACAAGCACTCAATGTATCTAGTATCATTCGAGTTGTTGGATGTCCGTTACTTTAACACAAACAATAAATCAATTGAAATGCACAACACAATTTAATGTCAAATGTGTACCTTAATTCAACCAGTGTCTGTAAAACTGCTCATAAGTAAGGCATGGTATTACATTGTAATACCAAAACACACACACAAACAAACAAACAAACGAACAAACAAAAACAAACAAACAAACAAACAAACTAGACAATACACAAGTCCAGAACTAACTGGGAGACGTTCTGCCAAGCTTGCCGTTCATAAGTCCGCCGTTGAGTGGGTGGCTGGCGGGGACCAGCGTGGGACCTGGGGACATGTCGTAGCCGTAACTTGACCTCCGACCTTCTCGTCTGTTTCCGTCAATAGCCGCTTGCAGCTCGGAAGGATTGCTCAGTTTGAGTTTCTCACACTCGTATGGGTACAGGTATTTCATGTATCTGTAAATAGAAAGCAAACAGAATTCCTGTCATTTCTTGGTGCTAATTCCAGTATTGTATTTTGAGTTTATATATTCTTTGGCATTTACACCTCATTTCGATACAATGGAGGTTATTTTGGAAGCAGGGTTCCTGGGTATCGTTCATGCTCCATGCAACGAGGAGGAGAAGGAGATCAGAGGGTAACCAAAGGCTGTCTTAAAGAGAAAAGGCTTTAGACTGGGTTTTTTAAAAACTAAAAATGCGAAAAGCAGAGTAGTGCTAAGACAATAGGCCTACGAACTGAGGAAGAAGTTCTCACGTAAGAAAACGTGAGACTAAAGGATGAGATGGATTAGCTTAGCACACGGTTTGAGTGTAAGAGGAGGAGGGAAAGATGCGTATAAAGCCTGCGAGCCAAGGGGGGGGGGGGCGAATTAATAATGTATTTGAGAAAAATATGGGAAGAGGTAACGGGGAACGAAAGAATATTTGTGTTGATTTTTTAAAAATATATATGTTCGTGTATTCATGTAAAATAAACAGGAAAAGAGCAAAGGGAAAATTATGGAAAAAAACAACTCCCACTCCACCACTCCAAGTTTTTTTTCACCAAAAAAAATTAATGAGGAAGAGGGTGGGGACTAGGGTGGATGGGAGGAGGGGAGTGGCGTTGTTTCCTTGAACTTCGGTTCAACCTATCAAATTTTCTTCAAGGAAGGCATAAAACCTTAAATGACTGTCACCGTTCGTCAAAATAAGCCTAAGCGATTTTTAAGATCCCATCCACATTAAAAGAACGAAGAACGTCACAACAGGGGTGTTTTGGAATTCAAACAATTAAAACCTCGCGTCTCATATCACGAGGAGGAAGTTTACATTTGTTAAGACAAGCGTATTTCGCGGCATCGCTAGCAGCTCTTAGTTTGAGAAAAAAAGTATAACGTGAAAATGAAAGTGAATTTCAAAGCTAGGCAAAAACGTAAGCTTAAAAAAAAATCCTGCCGCTATTAGTGCTGCATTCACAGCCAAGCACCATAAAGCCAAAAAACCGTAGAAAAGTAATTTCATTTTCTATAAAAGTCTTCCAGGCGCGTCCTATTCGGCCACATATCAAATTGTCAGAGTAAATAAGCGTAAACGTCTCAGGCAACGCTTTCTGGCATTCCGTGGCCAAATTCTGCCAAATCTCAGAGTCACTAAGCCAGGGTCGTGAACGAGATACGTTTAGATGTAATTAACTGAGGACGTCGTAACTAGCAGAAGGTCATGAAAAGAGAAAATTGGATCACTTTACAGCTAGTGGGGCGGGGTTCCCTTTTAAATGGTCTACCTGTCGTGGGTTCTTGATTTACAGTAGATAACATTTTACATAATATTTTATCTGGAGATATTTACTTTCTTTTCTTAAGCTGTGCAATCAAATAATGTTCTACTGTTGGGTTCTAAATTTTAATAAAAGTTTGAACAGGACTTACCCTTGTTTAAGTAGTAACTTTCCTGTTTATCAATAGTCTTCGTATTTTTAACTTAAGTATACGAACTATAAGAAAGTGCAGTATTCTTAAAATTCATTAAATAAAATCGGCAGCTATTATATATAAGATGGTCACTCGAGAGTACTGATGCATGTATTGTGCGTCTGTCTGTCTGTCTATCTGTCTGTCTGTCTGTCTGTCTGTCTATCTGTCTGTCTGTCGGCCTGTCGGTCTGTCTGTCTGTCTGTCTGTCTGAGTGTATATGTGTGTGTTTGTATTTGTTTGTGGGTGGGTGTGCGCGTGTGTGTGCGCGTGTGCGCGCGCGTGTGCGCGATTGTGTGTGTGTGGTTGTGACTGTTTTGTCACAGACAATTAACCAAACAAACAGAAAGAAGGAAAGTAGGTAGGAAGGAGAGGGTGGGGGGGGGAGGAGAGAGATTAGGAGAGTGCGTCAGCAAATGACTTTAGAAAACTGCAGGCGCCTGCAAATATGTAAGTGAGTACTAAGTTCTTCCAACCCTCTCCCCGCAACCCCTATCCCACCTTGCCCCCAACTCTGTATGTAGTGCACTTCTAGGTCCAAGCTCCAAAAAACTCTCAAAAAGGATTACCCTTTGCATACGTTTTAGTTTTAGAGAATGACACTCGCTTTCCCTTTTCACAGTTGTCTATTCCATCGAATGTGAAGGTTAATTCCGTTCCGAAAAAGAATATGTACTGAAGTAAACAGTGAATATAACACAGTATACATTCAAGAATGAGTACAGTCGTATTAAGACCAATTGTGTTTTCCTTTTTTCCTTTATTTCTCTCGGCTCTTGGCCCTGATGATTTTTAATCTTCAGAAAGAAGGTGAAGAAAGGTCGTTAACACTTTTTCAAACTCCCAAAGACATATTCCGTTTACTTTCCACCCCACCCCCCTCTCTCCATAATAATGTACACATTTTTTTCTTTTCTTAGATTTTTAAACATAATATACACACTCCTCTTTTGCCCCACTTCCTCTGCACGCACTCATTAACGAAATGGCGTGATAAAGTATAAAAAAGAAGATACATTCAGAACTACAAAGTCACCTTCTCCCGCTCGTTCTTATTTGACAAGCACTTTTACTCCTTTGATGCATTTTTCAAACACATTTAATGCATTTTCAACGGGAGTCATTCTATCTATAGCACTCATCAGCAATGCGTTCACATCGTTCGTCAAAACCTCCCAATTAAAAACAGAAATTCCACCAAGGCGCGGCAGGGATATGATGACAGATCGCGGAGGAAGGCGGGGATATATCTCGCTATGACCTGCACCATTAATGATTATCATAGAACACAGGAAACGCGGCCATACATCAGTTTTGAAAGAAGGAAAACAAACAGACAGTGCCAAAACCAGCGAACGTTACAAGAGGTAATTACGTCAAAGAGAAGGGAAAAGTTAACGCGAAATTATTAGAATGATGCCGAAATGTCTAGGCTTATTTTCCGGTAATGTTGGCCTTTCCTGTAGTTTTCTTTCTTTATTTCTGTTAGTTCTTCTCTTCCTCCTTCCTCTCTTCCCATCAATCCATAACCACTCAAGAATGCCACAAAATATTCTTTCTTTTTTTTGTTTACTTGTTCTTTGTCTTCTTTGTTTTTCATTTCTGTTTGTCTTTTTGGCGTTCTTTATGTCCGTAGATCAGTGTTTTACAGCCTAGAGAGAGCAAGGGGTAGACAAGGTAGATATGAAAAACGCAAAAGTAACAATACTATTGTGTGTGCTTATATATA